ATATTAGTCAAATAATATAGTAAGTTATATTATTTGGCTATTATTTGACCAAGCTGTATTTGACTTACAGCTTGGTCAGGAGGATGGGTTGGGGGAAAGTGCAAACAGCTAACAGGTAAGAAAGTTAATTTATTTGGTAACTAAATTTTACTATTTGATAAAATTGGTAACAGGTTCATTTATCCACAAAGAGCCCAAATCCTTTCAATCCATCCTCAGCCATGTTCGTCCGGGAAGGGTCACCAGATTGAAGCAATGGGTAGCAGGAAATTGGTTTATTTTGAGATTATTTCATGTTCTAGGATCATATCGAAGAATATTTGTTGTGTTAGTCATGTGAGCCGAGTAATTGCCTTAATTTATTTTAGTAATAGCTTCATAGGATCAATTCTATAGTATGACTGCCGAGTTCCTTGTCCGAAACTCGGGAGGGAATCACACTGCGAATAGCAATTCACTGATGTTATAAAATCTTATTGCGATTACGAATCTCTCTCTCTCTCTCTCTCTCTCTCTCTCTCTCTCTCTCTCTCTCTCTCTCTCTCTCTCTCTCTCTCTCTCTCTCTCTCTCTCTCTCTCTCACACAAAATGTCATAATTCCGAGGCCCGTTGTGCGTTCACCTTTCAGACGTCAGCATGATGATGAAATATTTATCATGACTTGAGCAGACCTACTGGGGTGTTAGGTCAAAGGTCGTCCAACTGTTCTAATTCCCGGTGAACAGACGCACGACACTCGGGGTCATAACATGGTCTTGAATTTACGAACCTTTGGCAAACAAGGAGGATTGAATTACAAGGAGAATTACAAAAAAAGGGAAAATAACAAAAACAATATGACCAAAATATCAGTATTAATTTAAATACCCAAGGAATATGGCCATTGTTTGGAAATTTCTCAAATTAAGTGTGCAGGGAAAAGCTGACAATATCGACGAGGGGGGGGGGGCGGGTATGTGTGAGGTTAGAGAAAGTTTTGAGATAAAATTTGGTAATAGTTGGAAGCGAGAGAGCGGTAACAAAGTGGGAGGTGATGGAGGAGCACGTGACAATTAAAGTGGAAGATAAAATCTATAATTATATAATAGGTTAATGAGTGTAAAAAGAGAGCGTGTATATGTATGTATGTATGTGTGTGTGTGTACTCACCTAGTTGTAAAGGGGGTTGCGCTCTGACTCTTTCGGCCCGCCTCTCAACTGTCAACGGATTTTTACACACACACAACATGTGTGTTGTGTGTGTGTGTGTGTGTTGATTATATGACAAAGAGTGCTGGGGAGACGGGACACCACGAGCGTAGCTCTCATCCTGTAACTACACTTAGGTAATTACACTTAGGTAATTACACACACATACACATCCCCAGGAAGCAGCCCGTAACAGCTGTCTAACAGCCAGGTACCTATTTACTGCTTGGTAACAGGGGCATCAGGGTGAAAGAAACTGCCCATTTTGTTTCCGTCACCGCTGGGGATCGATCCCCAGACCATAGGACTACGAATCCAGAGCGCTGACCACTCAGCCACAGACCCTGTGGCTTTGTGTGTGTGTGTGTGTGTGTGTGTGTGTGTGTGTGTGTGTGTGTGTGTGTGTGTGTGTGTGTGTGGGCGCGTGCGTGCGTGTTGATGTTGGTGCGTGTGTGCGTTAGAAGTTAAAGCTGAGTTGGGGTTAAAAATTATATATATTTTGGAGGATAAAGCAACTGAGAGTGGAATGTCGTACAGTACTGTGCAGATATTGGGTTGTGGTGTAGTTTATGGTTAATTGTGTGCACGTCTTGCCCTGTGTGTGTGTGTGTCTCCTTCCTTCCCCTCCTCTTGGGCCTCCCCCAAGACAGAACGGGAGGTTCAGGTACCGTTCAATACCACACACACCATCCTGACCGCTGCCTTCTGCTCCCCTCTAATATTGAACACACACACAACACACTACCTCTCCATTTTCCCAACACATATTTCAAAATTATAATCACAACTAAAAACAGATGTGTTGGTGAGGCTACGAGAAGCCTCAGCAACATATCTCGGCAATTACTTACGAGAAGCCGGATTTGAGCATGATAAGTTCTGTTAATGTCACCTGAAATTGACCTGCCACGATGTTGTCTTTCCTCTCTAAAGACATTATAATTGTTATTATTATTATAATATAAAAGTTGAGAGCGTCCTTAGTGTCACACATATCCTACACCCGCCTAGAGGCAAGCACTCCACCCTCCATTTGTCTGGTTACGCGCGCAATTTATCCAATATACTCCATTTGGTACCTACAATTTCTTCTGGCAGCGCTTAAAATTAAATGTATTTTTCGGTTGGACATGCGGTTCGTCCGCTGAAGGCTGATCCGAGGTGTTGATGTTGCATGTTGAGAAGCATGTTGTGTCATGAGAAGCATGTTGTGTCATGAGAAGTATGTTGTGTCATGAGAAGCATGTTGTATCATGCCGGTCCCCGACATGTCACGTTAAATCCCAGCTTATATTCGCTTTTTATCTTCGTATACTTGTAATCTTGCCAAGATGTCCGATAATCACTGGGAATTAGAAAGTTATGGCTGCTCTTAATTTGTGTATCGGCTCTTTCACCGAAGACTCAAATTACACATGAAAGTGGGAAAAGTTCTGCACACAGAAGACCAAATTTATTTTATGGCCCTGTGGCAGAGCGCAAAATTCCCCGTAGATCATAGTATTTTGCTAGATCCTTTCGACCTGGTCACTGTATTGTGTATGACCAGCTTTTGAGCTGGTCATTGTATTGTGTATGACCAGCTTTTGAACTGGTCATTGTATTGTTTTATTGTGCATTGTCCGAGCTAGTCATGGTATCATCTTGTGCGATCTTCTCAGAAACACAATAAACTTAAATACAACAGAGTTACCCCTGTAATTTTCAACCCCGTCATTTTCTCTAACATGTTTTCTGAGCCGCGGTAATTTGTTTGCTCCGGCTAGTTTAAAACTTTTTGCTTTCTGAGAAAAACGCTATTTAAACCTGGTTCTCTTTGTTGTATTGAAGTCCACGGGGAGCCGTAAGAGGGGGAGGCTGTGTTGGGCATGGAAATTATAAAGAAATGGGGGTAACACGCAATGGGCAGGAAGGCAGAGGATAGAGGTTAGTTCAGTTCAGTTAATTAATTGTGTACCCCCAACCTATCCTGTGGGCGGGCGTTGAAAAAGATTACACAGGTACATAACGGGCTTCAAAAATTAATCTAGCTCAGCAAGTTAAAGTCTTGATAAGCTAGCTACATAGTTTAATGTATATATATTTACCTGAACTTACTAGAGGGCCAATATATCTAGCGGCTTCGACGGGGACAGGAAGCCGGCGGCTTGTCAAAGGTCCTCCCCTCCATTGTGCCTGATGATATTTTTTCTAACTGGATTTTGAACTAATCTTGACATTTACGGCTTCTGCGGATAGGTGATTCCGTGGGTTTCTAACCATACACTCATCCAGTGGACGAAAGTGGACACTGTACATTCACCTGCATATACTACGTGTTGTAAGCAAACCTAGGATATTTGGCTAGGCTTTCTGGTAGTACATAATACTGAATTGTGCAACAGTGCTTACATGACTGTATTCTTTGCATGAAGAATCCTCCTGCATGGAGGATTATATCTTCGCACTATCTTCATGTCTCTGCCAAGTGATATGTAGTCATAATGGCTCGGCTCTTTCTCCTGGTAATTGCTTTACCTTACTTTAAAAATTTGTGATAATTATATATAAGTTCTTGATGTTCTCACATTCATTTACGAAGTGACGTAATGTATGTGAACAGTTTTGCTGGCAGTATACATTTGGTTAGAACTACTTCAGCACGTAGTTCAAACTGCCAGAGGTACTTGTAGCCGAGCCTCAGCCTAGCAGCAGTAACGTCTAGAAAGACCTTGTTGGATGACTCGTAGGTACGAGGCTATTCCTGCATAATAGCATGATGATAGATGGAGTAACTAGTGCGAATTTAAGTTTGTTGTCAGTCTATTAAATTTTGTTGGAGTTCTCGGAATATTACTGTCCTAGGGGCGCTCCAAGGCAATTCAAAATGGTAATCAACTACTTTAAGAGGCTTTGGTTAACTCAATAGTTTATCATGCATTCGGAGACCAGTATGAGAATAAATCCATAGGAGACAAATTTTGACTCCATCATTGATGATTTTATGATATCTGTATGATAACTGTGCCTTCAGACACTACTCTCTCTCTCTCTCTCTCTCTCTCTCTCTCTCTCTCTCTCTCTCTCTCTCTCTCCTCTCTCTCTTCATCTCTCTCTCTCCTCTCTCTCTCTCTCTCTCTCTCTCTCTCTCTCCCTCTCTCTCATACACACACAGAAAATATAATATTACTAAGCACTGGAAAAACTGCTAAAACACTACCGAAAATGCACTACCGATTTCAGATTTCATGAAAACTGCAGGAGTCGCTATAGATGCCAATATTTCTTAAAGTGTGGCACTGGGGCCGACCCCGACCAGCTTATGAAAGTTAGCTCCAAGCGTCTGGCCTCCTATTTTGGACAGACGGACATTCTATTGTATAGATATAGATACATATTTTACCTGTTATATAACTATTTAACATGCCCCTTGTATAGTGTATGAATAAATTATTATTATTATTATTATTATTATTATTATTATTATTATTATTATTATTATCAAGAGAGGGAAGGAAGTCGGTTTGACGGATAGATGGGGGGGAAGTGAAGGATGAGGTGAGGGGGTTAGGGAGGAGGTAGGGACACTGATAGATGGGGGGAGGGAGGTCGAGGCAGGGAGACGGGGAGAGGGGGGGGTGGGGGGGTGAGGGAGAAGGTCGGGGCAGGGATGGATGGCGGGAGGGAGAAGGTCGGGGCAGGGATGACGGACGTGATGGAGGTGGTCGGGGCAGGGATGGATGGCGGGAGGGAGGGAGGGAGAAGGTCGGGGCAGGGGGCAGGGGGCAGGGATGGCGGTAGTGAAGGAGGTGTCCCCCCGGCGTGTCAGTATAGCGGTGGCAGTGGTCGGGAGCGGGCGAGTGTGCACGAGGCAGCCAGTATACCTGGCCATGTGATAAAGACGTACCCTGCTGGGATATCCCCCGTGTCCTCGTACTGAGCGGGCCCCAGCAGGCACATGTGAGGAAGGGTGTGTGACCTATCAAAGGTGTATTACCGTAGAGGAAGGTCATAGCGTCCCCAACTTGTGAGTGCGAGTACTATAGTCACTCCCATCAACACCACCTTGTGTCTCAAGGTCCAGGAAGAAGTGTAGCTTGTCGTCGTGGGTGCCAATTCCCGTCTTATTTACCTTACCCAATATTAGAAACTTAAGATTACATGATGTATGGCTAATTGGACTGTAGTATTGGGTTTGGGCTTATAAGCTGCTAATGCCAGCACCAACCACCCTATACCTGTATGTAATTACCAATCTGAAAGGATACCAACAAAGTTTTAAGTGTATTTACAACGAGAAAATGAGTGCCTCAAACGTCCTGTGATCCTACTGCCTACTACAGTATGCCTACTGCAGTATGTTAACTTATATATAATATGCTGCCCTGCCGGGTATGTTTCGTAGCTCCATATTAAACTCAACTAGTGGTGTGAAACTAGTGGCTATTTTGGGAATATAATAATGCAATGGGAGTCAAGTTATCTGAAAGAAAAGACCGATGTAGTTGACTTGAATTACTTAGGACGAGGCTGCGTCGTCGTGAGGGTGTTGTGTTGGCCCGCCCTGACCCATCTCCCTTCTGCATGTAAGAGTCTCCCTCCCTCCCTCCCTCTTGCATGTAAGATTCTCCCTCCCTCCTGCCTGCAAGATTGTACGTCCCTCCTGTTTGCGAGATTGTTGCTCTTCCGTACATGCAAGATTCTACCTCCATCCTGCATGCAAGATTCTGCAAGCATTCCACGGTGATTGCGATGTATGAAAGATATCCATTACATGTTCTCGTTCTGTGCTGTATACATATTCTGTATATTCTGTGCCTACTAGTCTTGTTGTACCTCTTACGTTATGTTTTAACTATCCTAATGTTCGAATTCTTTGTTGAATCTGGCCTTAAAGTTGTGGATGGAGGTGGGTTCCACAACTTCTTCTTTCAATGCATTCCACTTGTTTACTACCCGTATTGGGTGCAAGTATTTCCTTATATGCCTTCAACTCATTTGGTTTCTAGCTTCCACTTGTGTCCTTTTGTCCTACTTTCAATTTGAAGTGACGTACGTCATTGTCCACCTTGTCTATCCTCCTCAATATCTTGTATGTTTTAATCATATTCCCTCTGTTCCTTTTATCCTGTAGGGTTGTGAAATTTAATTCCACTAGCCTATCTTTGTAGTTTGATTCTCTTAGCTTGCTGTAAACCTCTGTTCTGTTTAAATTTTGGTTTCATGCCTCACCATATATGGATTCATTCCATGCCAATGAATTCCATTCATTGCATATTCAATTATTGGTCTAACAAATGTTGTGTAGGTAGCTTTGCAGGAGTCTTGGTTTAGGTTTCTAATCGATCTTCTTATGTTTGCCAGCGTCCCATATGCTGCCGATGTTATCCTGCTTATGTATGCCTGCTGTGTTAGTGTTGGAACTATACCCGCTCCCAAATCTTTGTGTGGTGGTGGTGGTGGTGAGAGACAGGGTAGTACTGGCCCCCTTCCCCACTCCCTCACACACGCACTGCAGCACGCCAAGTCTTCCAGCTCCCATGCTAAATATATTGACGGAAGATGGCGTGCAGCGGTGTTATAAAAAATTATTACCTCACATCCCAATTCTTATTTGCCCGTTGTCAATATGAATCATATTATTTATAGCTTTTGCCCACATAAATAATCTCAGACTACTGTAGGCTATGTAAGCAAGGAAGCTTTGTCTACTGTAGGCTATGTAAGCAAGGAAGCTTTGTCTACTGTAGGCTATGTAAGCAAATTTGATCTACTGTAGGCTACATAAGGAAGATTGAACTACTGCAAATTATCTGAGGGAGCCTCGACTACTCTAGGCAATGTAAGGAAGCTTGACCTATTCTGTGACGGTGTTATCAAGCGATATCCGGGTTCTCTTCCCCTCTATTCCATCCCTTCTCCCCTTTTCTCAAAATTTATTATTACAAAGCACTGTAATGGGTAAACAACACTGTGGGAACAACAAATATTTCAGACGAAAATCATGAAAAATAGCTTGGGGGGGGGGTCTTTATAAATGGCTACATTTGTTAAGACCAACCAGCAAGTATATTTTAAGCCTTTTAATATATACATGTACTATGTGTTTATAATTTGTGTGCTACTATTATTTGTACTGCTAACTTATGTGCGTAACAAATCAAAAATTCATTTATCCAAGTTTTACTTCATTAATATTTAAAGGTTTCACTCTAAGCATTAAAAGTAATGGCAGTAATGTCATTAATATTACAAATCGTCATTGTTATGTAAGGCATTACTATTGTGAATCATCAGTGTTAAATATAAATTATGATAGTAAAGAGACCTGGTTTACCTGGTTGATACCTGGTTGATGGGGTTCTGGGAGTTCTTCTACTCCCCAAGCCCGGCCCGAGGCCAGGCTCGACTTGTGAGAGTTTGGTCCACCAGGCTGTTGCTTGGAGCGGCCCGCAGGGCCACGTACCCACCACAGCCCGGCTGATCCGGAACTTCTCTTAGAAAACCGTCCAGTTTTCTCTTGAAGATGTCCACGGTTGTTCCGGCAATATTTCTTATGCTCGCTGGGAGGACGTTGAACAACCGCGGACCCCTGATGTTTATACAGTGCTCTCTGATTGTGCCTATGACACCTCTGCTCTTCACAGGCCGATCACAGTGCCGGGGCCGGAGAGCACAACTCGTCCTCGTTCCTAGTACGTCGCATATTTTATGCGACGTACTTTATTTTATTTATATTTTATTCACAGTATTTTATGTACTTTATAAGCGACGTACTTTATTTTATTTATATTTTATTCACAGTATTTTATTCGACGTATTTTATTCACAGGTGCCTATGACACCTCTGCTCTTCACAGACCGATCACAGTGCCGGGGCCGGAGAGCACAACTCGTCCTCGTTCCTAGTACGTCGCATATTTTATGGAGGCCGCTAAATAGACGTACTATAGTAGCATTTAAAGCCTCGTAATACTGATGTGTTGAATGCATCTGCCTCGGTAGATTAGGTGGGACGCTTGGCTTTGTGCCCTTCTGGATAGTCTAGATAGTTGCATTCTTTACGGAGTGGTAAATCAAGAGAACGGGCTGTTCACAAAGCATTTACGTGTCCACTTACGAGAGTTTTACATCTTATTTAAATAATAGCGGCTATGTCTGTATTTATAAAATAGTTAATGAGCAGTAAAGAGTATAAATAAGGTCGTCCGTAATTATAATCTTGGGTTGGGGACCCCCCGTACCTCTCTGGAGCTCGCAAACTGGTTAGGAAATACAGACTAAGCTATTATCCTTGCAAGAGGTACACATATCTTAAATGAACACTTTAAGTGTTTGATGAATACTACTGATCCAGAACTCGAGGCTAACAGCGTATTACCTGTTTCTGTCCATCCGTCCTGAATGTGGATAAATATTTAGAGGTATTTGAAATACCGGGCAAGTTAATTCTTATTTTAATTATTTAATTTGTGAATATTGCACTCGTGGGAATTAGAATTTCAGGATGTCCATCCCAGCTGCCTGACGGTCTGCACATGACACAGGGAAAATGGTTGTCTGGGTGCGTCGTGTTGGTGTGTCCAGCACGTCAACGGCAGTGAGTGGTGTTTTTAGACCCGGTCCGCGGTTCATCAAGTTTTTACCTCTTCACTTACATGTACATCTTTCCTAGATCATGGTGACTTAGTCGGTATTTATTAAATTGCTCTTTACGAGCTTTGAAACGCTGTGAGATAGATTCGGCCCAAGGTTATTATTATTTTTGTTTGAGATATATACAAGAGTTATTACATTCTTGTACAGCCACTAGTACGCGTAGCGTTTCGGGCAGGTCCCTGGAATACGATCCCCGCCGCGAAGAATCGAAAATTATTTTTTTCCAATTATTATTATTATAAGACATTCTCGTACTCTTCGGAACTCATAAACTGTTTTAGGAAATGCAAACTAAGCCACCATGATTGAGGAAAGATGCGCAGATTTCGTAAGTGGATAGGAAAATGGTTGATGAAGCCTGGTCGCAGTCTGAAAGCACCACTCACTGTCACATTGACATCCTTTTGACGTGGGCTTCTGGGGACAGGTTCGGTGTGATATCAACCCTCTGATCTTTCTCTCTATTTGACTCTTACAGGATTTCTCCTCCCAGATGGTACCTTGTGTTCAGCCTTGTGCTCCCTTCGCCTAATTTAATTACTTTACACTTTCCTGAGTTGAACCTTAGTAGCCATTTTTTAGACCATTCCACCAGTTTGTCCAGGCGTCCTATACTCACCTAGTTGTACTCACCTAGTTGTGCTTGCGGGGGTTGAGCTCTGGCTCTTTCTGTCCTCCTCTCAACTGTCAATCAACTGTTTTTTCTACAAAAACAAACACACACACACACACACACACACACACACACACACACACACACACACACACACACACACACACACACACACACACACACAATCGATACCCCGGAGGGTATCGATTCATTTCTCTCAATGTTTGCGGACGATGCTAAAATTATGAGAAGGATTAAAACAGAAGAGGACTGTTTGAGGCTTCAAGAAGACCTAGACAAGCTGAAGGAATGGTCGAACAAATGGTTGTTAGAGTTTAACCCAACCAAATGTAATGTAATGAAGATAGGTGTAGGGAGCAGGAGGCCAGATACAAGGTATCATCTGGGAGAGGAAATTCTTCAGGAGTCAGAGAAGGAAAAAGACTTGGGGGTTGATATCACGCCAGACCTGTCTCCTGCAGCACATATCAAGCGGATAACATCAGCGGCATATGCCAGGCTGGCCAACATACGAACGGCATTCAGAAACTTGTGTAAAGAATCATTCAGAACTTTGTATACCACATATGTCAGGCCAATCCTGGAGTATGCAGCCCCAGCATGGAGTCCATATCTAGTCAAGGATAAGACTAAACTGGAAAAGGTTCAAAGGTTTGCCACCAGACTAGTACCCGAGCTGAGAGGTATGAGCTACGAGGAGAGACTACGGGAATTAAACCTCACTTCGCTGGAAG